TTTTTTTCAACCTATCCAATATTTTAAATACGTACTTTATTTGATAGCTCACTTTTTTCAACTGATCAAAATCTAGAGCTATAATTCATATTTCTCATAAACAGGTTCTTTCTATCTTTTTATTCTTTATCTTGAGCACTCTGGAATAATAATAAAACAGAACGAGAAAAGATGAACACACGCACACAAATACAAGAGACAAATAAGCAAATAGAATAACACATAATAGAAGGACTGCTGAAGAAGAATAACTGATTATCTATGTTCTTTTTTATTTCGATTGTTTATAAGTGTTCATCTAAATGTATATTTAATATAAGGAACATCTTCAACATCATTTCCTTCCAAATCATCACATAACATATCCAATGTAAGAGAACGAACATGAGCAGGAATCTTTGTTCTTGTCACTGTTTCAAACAGTTCAGAAATTCTAATAAAATCAAAAACAAAATTTATTATTATTTTAAATAATAAAAATTTCATACATACTTTCGTTTCATATCTTGTGTTTTACTTGTTTGACGCATGAAATGTGGACTATAAATAACAGACATTCCTGCTGAAATCATATTCGGTACTAATTTATGTTCACGCTATAAATAATAATTTAAAATCAAAAACTCAAATTATAAATTCTTATATTTTTCGATTACTTTGAAGTATTCAATAAATTCTTCTAATGTCATATCACCTTTTACTTCAAATCGATCCCATAAAGTAAAATCTTTGTCAAGATACTACAATAAAAACAATTTATAGTTAATTGTTGCTTTTTTTTATGTCTGATTTTTTAATATACCTTTTGACGTTTTGGTGGTACTGGTTCAGAAAATCCAAAAAATGGCAAAGCCAAATTAACAAACCCATTTCGATATGATTCTATTTTTTGATGATTTTGAACAAATTTATAAACTTCAAGACAAACAAGTCCAGTAACCATTGCTGTTGCTGTTGCAATAGCTGGAATAATATTTCCTGCAATTCTTTTAATTTTACTTCTATCAGCTCTTTGTATTTCATAATTTTCAGCTCGTAAATTTGCTGTTGCTGTAATATAATCCATATGAAAATTTGTATCATCATCTTTTTCAAATTCATGTGGTCGAATTTTAATATCAAGTACATCATCATATTTAGGTAATCGATTAAGAAGTTGTTCTACTTCTATATCATTTCCACTTTGACCATTTTTACGCATTGCACTTGTATTTTTTTGTCGATCAAGTTCAGCTCGTACTTGATCATCATTTTCATGTATTGTTACACCTGCTTTTGGTTTAAATTCAGGTATATGTAATTTTAAAACTTCTTCAGCAATTAATTTATAATCATTTGTTTGTGGTATATGATACATGTGTGCAAGTAAATTTGATGCAGCCACAATAAAATCCAAATGAAGTTTATTATTAACATCAAATTTTAAAACATGTGGACATCGTTTATTTCCACTCCAAAAACGTTCACCTTTATTTGTGATATGATCACGTGGAAAATTAAAAAGTAATTGGGCAATTGTATTATGAAATTGTTGTTCGAAAAGAAGTCGTGACTGATAAAGAAAAAGAAAAAAAGAATAAAACGAATATAAAGTTAGCGTAAATATCTCTGATACAATTCAAGTGATTTAACTGACTTTTTTATGATATGGAAATATGTTCTGTATAATTTCAGATAAATGTTTGTGTCTATTAAGATTAGAATAAGAATTACTTAATGAATGACCAAACCTGAGTCACTTATGATTATAAAACAAAAATTACAAGTTGAATGCTGCAAAAACATATCAAATGAAGATTGTATTAAAGTTGCGTTTCAATGCTTTTGTGATATGGGTGTAGTGAAAGATCAACAACATTCTAGAAGGTCGTCAATAGTTACAGAAGAAAAAAATCGACGATGTTTATGAACTTGAGCTGCCGCCAGGGCTTGTCCATTCCATGAACAAAATGCATCTTGTACAGTCTTAATGAAAGGTATTCGATGCAATGTTGTCCGTGGAATGATGCAGACTTGTGACAGCTCGAGTTCATTAACACCATATACATCATCAACTTTCGTGGTGGTGTTCTAGAATGTTATCAATCTTTCGTTGTACCAGTTTCACAAAAGCATTGAAACGCAATTTCAATGCAATCTTCATTTGATATGTTTTTGTAACACTCAACTTGCAATTTTCGTTTCACCACCATAGGTGACACAAGTTTATTCATTTATTAAACAATTCTTATTCTAATCTTTATAGATACAGACATTTATCTGAAAACATAGAGAACATACTAACATGTCATAAGAAAATCAATTAAATTGCTTGAATTGTATAAGAGATACGTATGTTAACTATCCAAATAGACTTTCAACACATTCTGTAGAGCTTTTTATTAGAAAATGATCGATATTTACCCATTTGACACAATCAGCGAAAGTTTTTGGACGTTCTCCACTAAGAATACGTTTCACATTTTCAATTATTTCAGTTTTGTCATATTCCGAATGATTTTTAGCTGTTCTTTCGGCAAATTCTTTTGGACCACGCATAAATTCTTCGGCTTGTTGAGAAGGAATTGTAAAGAGACCAGCAAAATTATCACGTGCCCATTCTATTGTATGTTCAATTAAATTTGGAAAATTACGTAAAGTACACATTGGTATTGATGGATCAGGTGGATCATTGGTTGATGAATAAGATTCAGTGAGAAATGGAACAACAACTTGAACACTTGCTTTTGTACCTAATGTACCACTATCGACCAATGGTTTTTGATAATAGACACAACGACGATCAATATATTGACCTTAAAAATAATTGAAATTAATCTAGTTTCTACTAAGTACAATATGAGTTTCATACAAATGTGAGAAGTGTGAGTGCAATGAATAAATCATAAGAATATAACTGGTAAGAGGAATTCTTCGACAACTGGCTTCTGCCAATCGTATTGGATAGACAATGAAAATGTTAAAAGCTCGTGCATCTTTTCATACAATTCATAGGGAAAAAAAAAGATTTTTGTTCTCGTCAACATGACGATAAAATCATTTTCTCTTAAGCGAACCCCGTCTTCTTTCGAGGCTTCTCGAGAACGACTCGACGAAAAATTATGAAACTTTCAAAGCAGATAGATCTCGATAAGTAGAGCAAAAGTTCTCAAAGACTCAAAATTCTTAGATGCTTGTTTCAGGAAGATATGAGGATCGCAAAAGTCGAAAATTACCAGTTTTCCCCGGCAAAACTCTATACTTCATTTTTTCGAACTTCAATTTTTTTATAACAACTAGGATGAAATCGGGATGCATGATTTTTTCTTTCAAAAATATCGTTTTCAGAGTTCAGGAGAAGCAAAATACTGGAAGAACTGTTAAAAAATCTGCTTTTTTGTCAATGGTACTAATTTTTCAAACGTTATCGAATTTCTTAGGAAAAACACTTTAAAGAAAAAAAAATCCGCACTCCAATTTGACCCAGGTATTCATTAAAAAAATGTAAGCCAGATCAGTCGTATCATGTCGGAGAAAACTTCGTTTTCTTTTGTTCAAAATTTGGTTTTGAGGATTTTCCTCAAATAAAATGATCGAAAACTGGTTGTATTAGAGGTCCATAATCCATTCTCTTAGTACTTTTAGAAATTATCATTAGAAAAATTTTTGCATACAAAAAATGATCACACCGCGAGTTTTTTTTTGCTAGAGATTTCAAAAATTGAGTTTAATAAAAGTATTAACTAACAACGAAGAGCCCTCATTTAGATGGTATTTGGTAAAGAACACTTCGAAACTATACCAAATATTGAAAAATTCTTGATTTTTAACATTCGAAATCGTGGAGAGTCTCCCTTTAATAGCAATTTAATTGATAAGATAGGTTTCATATTTGTTTCGTATACAGTAAGCGTATTCTTTTTTCTTTATACTGTCCTTCTAACATCACGTTCTTCGAACAATGTCAAATTCATTCAATACGATTAATCTAACTAGACATAACATTGAGCTTCAATCGACTTACATATTTCAAAAGTAAAAAGAGGTGAACTTGCATCTTCCAATGACACGAGTAAATATTTTACTTCGTATATTCTTAGTCAATTCCTAGATTACTTCAATAAAACTCCTGTCAACTATTTAATAAAAAAGAATACAAAACTCGACTATTGCTTGTGAATATATGTCCTTCTCCTTATTCCTGAAGTACATCTTCAAATATTTAATTGGAAAGATCTCAAGCAAGAAAAGTAATCATAATTTGAATTTATATAATATCTTTACAAGTAATACTAATATTGACAAAAAATTTCTTCGAGCAATACTCGATTATTTCTCAAAAGAAATATCATTTTCAAATAAATCAAAAGAAAAAAAAATTTAATCCATGTCACTCGTTTCATTCTATTCAATGATACTTACGAGCTTTGACATTGTCAAGTGCATTAACAACACCGTCCAATCGTTCAAAAAAATGATCATCATAAATATGTTCTGTTTCTGGGAAGACTCCATCAACATATGCACGAACATGCATATTTGGATTCATTGCTTTTACTGCTTCAGCTGCAACTGTTGATTTCATTTTCTAAAAAGTTAAATAAAAAAAATTAAATTTAACTCTTCCTTAATCATACAAATGAAAAACTTACGCCAATATCCCATGAACGAAAGAGAAATTGTCGATTTAAATTTGATTTTTCAATTGAATCCATATCTGTTACGTAAACATGACCCTCCTTCAAACATCCAACACCCATCATAGCAAAGTTTTTCAACATTTCACAACCAATTGCACCAGAACCAACCTTTATTTTAATAATTTTATCATTTTCTTTTTCTCAAATATTGTTTTTTGTTTACTTACTACAAAATATTTAGATTTGCCTAATTTTTCTTGAAAATCTTCACCAAAAACAATTTCTTGTGAATAATATCGTGAAGTTTTTGTTGGTAATTTTGGTCCCATATACGATTCAGTTGTTATTTCATTTGATGGTTGAAATACATTTTCAGGTAAACATTCAATTGCATCAAAATAAAAAAATTGTCGAATTGGCATAAATTTTCCTGTTACGGCCTAATAGAAAATACAAACAATTAAATCAATTTTATTCATGAAAAAGAAAACCAAGATAAATTGATTACTTTCATTGCTTCTTGAGCAGCAATACCACCAATAACAGCTTGCATTGGACATAAATCACCAGTACATGTTTTAGAAAATAATTTTATCCAATGTTTATTTAATTCATCTGTTAAGACTTTTTCACGATTTTCACTATTTAGTTTTTCAACTACTTCATAGAATTTATCTGCATCACCCTACAGACACAAACAAAAAAATCAAACTCAATAATAAATAAAAGTAATTAACTATAACATACATCATCCCATGGTTTTGGTAATGTATTATATTGTTTTTGAAAGTTTGATATAGCTTGAAATGCTAAATGAAGATTGGCTGGCATTGACATCTTGGCAAAATCACAAACTAACATTTCAGGATCTTTTAATGATTCAGAAAATGGTTTCTAAACAAGAAAAAAAGCAAGTCAAATTCTAAGTATTAGAAAAGTAAACATACAAAATTGGCTATTTCTGGTTTTTTCACTTCAATTACATTTCCACCACCTTCATAAACACCAAAATTTCTTGTATCACCAATTGTAAATGTATATGGACCTAAAAACAAATATTGTTTATTTCAATCAAATGCACAA